CGCTGAATACATCGTAGTCCGACTTTCGTAAAATCTTCGAAAAGGCGATCACCGAATCCGAATTGCTACGAACAGATGCATTCAACGTATATGCTGCGTTCGTAGCTATTCGGATTCAGTGATAGCATTTTCGTAGATTTCACGAAAAATCGGAGTACGATGGATTCAACGATAGCCCTGGGCTCGAATCGTCACATACGACATCGTACTACTCGTCACGTAAAAACACATTTTTCGGATTAAGACATACGTGAACGTACTTTTTGTACCATTCAGCTTATACTGCTTGACGTATCACGTAATTTTCTTTCGTATCGTTTTCGATCCGTGAACGGATGTTACGATTCGAGCCCTGAGTATTTGAACGCATTCGTAAAATTGTTATCAAAATTACTGAGTCCATCGAGTTGCAAAATAAATAATGGATTACACAAACAATGCTTATTTAATTTTTAGAATCGAATATCTGGATATCTTTACTCCTTTCGGATATCCGAATATCAATAGACCATTCGGATATCCGGATATTAGAATACTTTTCAGATATTCGAATGTTCGGATTATCTAGATATTCTAAAAATTCTGATAGAGCTTCCAGCTCTAGTATTTATGTACCCATTTTTAGAATGAACACAGAAGTTCTCTACTGTCTTTGGACATTCCTTGAAGAAAAGTTTCATGTGTATATCGCCCATTGTCGTATGTAAAACAGCATTTTCATAGACACGTTGTGTTCCTATTTAAATTAAAAAAAAACTATTACTTTCGTACTTAATTAATTATAGAAAAATAATGCAAGTTAACCTTCATCTGTTCAAAACACATCAGTATTGTAGCATGAAATTTTTAAAACATGTGACTTAAGATTTGTTTTCAAGAAATACGTGCATAGGTTCTATCTAAACTCTCAAGCATATTTGTAAATATCAACAGTTTACCTTGGCCTTCTGGAACAGCGATTATATCTTCCTTTGAAGGTTTTTCATTGAATACGTCTCTATCCACATCTTGTAAATCAGATGGTAACCGTCGACTATATAGATAAAAACGTGGTTTTCTAGAGTATGGAAAGGTATTATCAAAACATTTTTTTGAATACGAAATATTTCACAGCACATATACTTGTAAGCGGCACAAAACACCGTGGGATCATTAGCTAAGGATTGCAGTGTAGGATTGTCGCTAGCTTCTTGTTCTAGTGTAATAGCTGCCTTAGATTTTTTTGCTTTACCCTAGAAGTAGTTGTAAATATGTACATTCATAGTATGTATTGTGCGATCAAAAGTAAAAATTCTGATTTTAAATTACCTGGAATAAGGCTATATGCAGTGGGCGTATATTATCAGTTTTGCCCAGTATTGACACACATCTATTGGTCTCAACGTTAATAACTTTAATACCTAACATGGTTGGATACATCATGAAATGTCCGCTGGCATCGAATAGTATATTGTTGCTTGTATTGTATTCAGACTTATCCAAATCACGTTCCACAGCCATTCTAATTTGATTAGATTTCATTATTAAAGTTTTATAAGAATACTAACAGTTATAGAGATGTAATCGTCATTCGTCATCTAAGGGCTATATGTATGTACATAGGTAAGTATCTATGCAATGGAAGCTCTCAAATATATTTTCATCAACGTTTTA